CAGGTGTGGATGTGGTCTGGATGTTGTCCTGTGTCCTGTGGTCTCTATTTTAGGAAGATTTTTCTTTGTTATATTTTCTTAGCTCTATGTGTTTTTGGGAGGAGATTTCCACTGCTCTACTCACACCGCCATCTTGGCTCCATTAAATGTTTTAATCAGTTTTTTCCTTTTTATAGCTTCAAGACTAGTTGGCTTTTTGTGATTGGTTGTTTTTAGCAATTTTTTAGCATTTTTAAAATTAAGGTATTATTGATATACATTCTTATGAATGTTTCACATGAAAATCAATGTGGTTACACCCATATTATCAATTCCCCACCCACACCCCAGTGCAGTCACTGTCCATCAGTGTACTAAGATGCCACAGAGCCCCTATGTGCCTTCTCTGTGCTATACTGTCTTCCCCATGACCCCCCCACACCATGTGTACCAAACATAATACCCCTCAATCCCATTCTCCCCACCCACCCCTCCACACCCCTCCCCTTTGGTAACTGCTAGTCCCTTCTTGGAGTCTATGAGTCTGCTGCTGTTTTGTTCCTTCAGTTTTTGCTTTGTTCTTATACTCCACAAATGAGGTAAATCATTTGTTACTTGTCTTTCTCTGCCTGGCTTATTTCACTGAGCATAATACCCTTTAACTCCACCCATGTTGTTGCAAATGGTAGGATTTGTTTTCTTCTTATGCTGAATACTATTCCATTGTGAATATGTATCACCTCTCCTTTATCCATTCATCTACTGATGGACACTTAGGTTGCTTCCATATCTTGGCTATTGTAAATAGTGCTGTGATAAACATAGAGGTGCATATGTCTTTTTGAATCAGGGCTCCTGTATTCTTAGGGTAAATTCCTAGGAGTGGAATTCCTGGGTCAAATGGTATTTCTATTTTTAGATGTTTGATGAACCTTCATATTGCTTTCCAGAATGCTTGAACTAATTTAAATTCCCACCAACAGTGTAGGAGGGTTCCCCTTTCTCCTCATCCTTGCCAGCATTTGTTGTTTCTTGTCTTTTGGATGGTGGCCATCCTAACTGGTGAGAGGTTATATCTCATTGTGGTTTTAATTTTCATTTCCCTGATGATTAGCGATGTGGAGCATCTTTTCATGTGCCTGTTGGCCATTCAGATTTCTTCTTTGGAGAATGTCTGTTCAGATCCTCTGTCCTTTCATCAGGGATATTGGTCTGTAATTTTCTTTTTTGTGGTGTCTTTGCCTGGTTTGGTATTAAAGTGATGCTGGCCTTGTAGAATGAGTTTGGGAGTGTTCTGTCCTCCTCTACTTTTTGGAAAACTTTAAGGACAATGGGTATTTGGTCTTCTTTGAAAGTTTGATAAAATTCAGCTATGGAACCATCTGGAACAGACATTTTGTTCTTAGGTAGTTTTTTTATTACCAATTCAATTTCATTGCTGGCAATTGGTCTGTTCAGATTTTCTGTTTCTTCCTGAGTCAGTCTTAGAAGGTTGTATTTTTTTTTAGAAAGTTGACCATTCCTTCTAGGTTATCCAATTTGTTGTTATATAATTTTTCATAGTATTCACTAATAATTATTTGTATTTCTTTGGTGTCTGTAGTGATTTTTCCTTTCTCATTTATGATTTTGTTTATGTTTGTACACTCTCTTTTTTTCTTGATAAGTCTGGCTAGGGGTTTATCTGTTTTGTTTATCTTCTCAAAGAATCAGCTCCTGGTTTTATTGATTTTTTCTACTGTTTTATTCTTCTCAATTTTATTTATTTCTTCTCTGATCTTCATTATGACCCTCCTTCTACTGACTTTGGACCTCATTTGTTCTTCTTTTTCTAGTTTCATTAATTGTGAGTTTAGACTGTTCATTTGGCATTCTTCTTTCTTGAGGTAAGTCTGTATTGCAATATACTTCCCTCTGAGAACTGTCTTCACTGTATCCCCCAGATTTTGGGGTGTTGAGTTGTTGTTGTCATTTATCTTCATATATTGCTTGATCTCTGTTTTTATTTGGTCATTGATCCATTGAGTATTTAGGAGCATGTTGTTAAGCCTCCATGTGCTTGTGGGTTTTTTGTTTTCTTTGCATAATTTATTTCTAGTTTCATACCTTTGTGGTCTAGAAGCTGGTTGGCACAATTTCAATCTTTCTTAATTTAGTCAGGCTCTTTTTGTTGCCTAGTGTATGTTCTATTCTGGAAAATGTTCCATGTGCACTTGAGAGGAATGTGTATTCTGCTTTTAGGTGGAGTGTTCTGTAGATGTCTGTTAGGTCCATCTATTCTAATGTGTTGTTTAATGCCTCTGTCTCTTTACTTATTTTCTGTTTGATTGATCTGTCCTTTGGAGTGAGTGGTGTGTTGAAGTCTCCTAAAATGAATGCACTGCATTCTATTTACCCCTTTAATTCTGTTAGTATTTGTTTCACATATGTAGGTGCTTCTATGTTGGTTGCATACATATTTATAATGGTTATGTCCTCTTGTTGAACTGACCCATTTATCATTATATAATGTCCTTCTTTGTCTCTTATGACTTTCTTTGTTTTGAAGTCTATTTTGTCTGAAAGAAGTACTGCAACTTCTGCTTTTTTCTCCCTATTATTTGAATGAAATATCTTATTCCATCCCTTCACTTTTAGTTCATTTTTGTCTTTGGGTTTGAACTGAGTCTCTTGTAGGCAGCATATAGATAGGTCTTGTTTTTTATCCATTCTGTAACTCTCTGGCTTTTGATTGGTGCGTTCAGTCCATTTACATTTAGGGTGGTTATGGATGGGTATGTACTTAGTGCTATTGTGGGTTTTAGATTCATGGTTACCAAAGGTTCAAGGGCAGCTTCTTTACTATCTGACAGTCTAACTTAACTCACTTAGTATGCTATTTCAAACACAATCTTAATGTTCTTTTTTTTCTCCCTTCTTCTTCCTCCTTCTCTGTTCTTTTTATATTATGTGTCATATTCTGTACTCTTTGTGTATCCCTTGACAGACTTTGTGGGTAGTTAATTTAATTTTGCATTTGCTTAGTAATTAATTGGACTGCTTTATTTACTGAGGTTTTATTTTCTCTGGTGACAGCTATTTAAACTTAGGGGCACTTCTATCTATATCAGTCCCTCCAAAATACGTTGTATATATGGTTTGTGCATGGTAAGTTCCTCACCTTTTGTTTATCTGGAAATTGTTTAACCCCTGCTTCAAATTTAAATGATAATCTTGCTGGATAGAGTATTCTTGGTTGGAGACCCTTCTGTTTTATTGCATTAAATAAGTCATGCAAATGCACTCAATTTTAATCATTTTTTAAATGATTTTTCTTATAGTATTTCAATTAAAAAAATGTGAGCTGCATAGAAATACATACAGTACAAAGAAAATCTCCCACAACTCCCTGTCTTTCATAGATATTTTTCTTTGTGTATTCACACATAAGTATGTGTGTATGTTCTGTTTCCCACTATTTATACCTTTATTTCATATTTGCTCTATCCTCTCATTTTATGAAATATCTTGGTTGTCTTTTCATGTCAGTATCTATACTGTATTTTTCACTATTACAACAATATATTGTTTATTTATCTTTGTGAATGTGATCTATTTTCTTAGGTTACATTCCTAGATTTCTGAGCTTTGAGACATTCACTTAGAGCCAAACCATGCATCTCAATAGCTTCCCCTTTTTGCCCTCACACCCACAATGTATGAGGATTTCCATATCCCCATGTCCTCCCCAGTAGTGAGCTTTACCAATCTTCTTTATTTTTACTCCAGTAAGAGACAAATTGTGATTTCACATTATTGTTTCTATTTACATTATTTGGGTTACTTTTCTCCCTCCTGTCTTCACCTTTTGTGTGAGCTCTAGTTTCAGTCTTACTTTCTTACTAGAAATAGAAAACTAATACCACATCATAATTTGAAAAAAGTCCAGTATTTGATCTTAAATATAAAGAACTGCAGCCCTCAGTCACCCTTTAAATGGTCCTAATACGAATAAGTGATTATAATGAAATTTGAGGGTTGCAATGGTTGATAATCTCCCAAAATCTCAGTGAGAGCAAATACAAAACACCAATCTCTCAGGTCTTAGCATAGTGGAAAGAATTGCTGGGGACTCAAAACATTGCAGCATTACCCCACCCCGTCTTCCAGATTTCCATAACATTAATGGAACCCTGCATTTTTCATCTTTTATATCTGTCTGTCTTCTACATCATTTCTGTACTTACTTCCCAAATATCAACACAAGGAACTCTTGTCCTGCTAGCCTCTCAGCTTACATGGGAGAATGCTTCTGATGTCTATAGCCAAATCTGTGCAGTTCCCTGCACTGTTACAGTTTTCTTTTTCTCCCACTCTCATTTTCATTGTCAATGAGAACATAATATACTTCTTGCAAGATAAACTTATTTATGTGGCTCAAGTCATAAGTCTCCCTTTTTTTTTCACAGGAGAAGCAAAGAACCGAAAGTATAACCCATCCAGTTTCCATAGGTTTAACTTGTATGGGGTCCCAACACCACATTTTAATGATGGACGAACCATAGCAAAAACTTTATATTGGCTCCATGAACTACAAATGTGAGTTTAATTACATTGCATCCTGAAACAAGAGTTAGATAGATGACCTATGGACTTAAGGTTTACTTATTTAATTATTTTTTGATGAGGTAATGTGCTGACATGGTCCAAACATAAAACTAATAGAAAAAGATATACAGTGCTTTGTCTTCCAAAGTGTCCCGTTTCCCCCTACATAACCAAGATACTGTTGTTTTGTGTGTGTGTGTATCATTCTAAAGTTACTTAAAACCTTTATAAGCATATCCGAAGACATATATGCATGTTTTTAAACTATGGGATCGATCCAACTTATGTTTCATAAAGATGATGGGCTTTCAAATCTCTACAAAGACAATCATGTCACATGTAATTGACCTGTCATTTATCATTCAGCTTTGTTTAATAGTTATTTGGTCACCTGAGCATTTGACTTAACTATTGCAAACTACGACCTTTTTATACCATCATTCTACATATTCTACTTACCTAGGAAATTTAAATAAGGTTTCTTTGTTTTTCATTTCCTCTGTTACATTTTATATCTAAGTCACCACTTAGACATTGGAAGATTACTCATAAAATACCATATTTCCTACTATGCTTATAAAAACCAGATGTTTGGAAACACTGATAAAGGCTGCCTTTAATGGGTTGAAAGGTAGGCCCCTCAAAGATATGTCCATGTTCCAGTTCTTAAAACCTGTGAGTGTTACCTTATGCGGGGAAAGGATCTTTATAAATATAATTAAGTTAAGGTTCTAGACATGCAGAGATCATTCTGGATTATCTGGATGGGCCCTAAATCCAATGACAAGAGGACTTATGAGGGAAATGCAGAGGGAGATTTGGGACAGAAGAGAATTCACACCAAGTAAGTAATGTGAAGATGGAGGACTTCACAGTGATGTGGCTCAAGCCAAGAAAGGCCAGAGTATGACACAGCCTCCAGATGTTGGAAGAAGGGATGAATATTCTCCTCAAAAGCCTTTGGAGAGAATTCAGCCTGCTGACACTTTGAATTCCAACTTCAGGCCTCTGGAACTATGACAGAACACATTTCTATTGTTTAAAGCCACCTGTTTGTGGTAGTTTGTCACAGAAGCACAGGAAACTAATGTACCTGGCCTGCATCTCTACATATCAGTGGCAGGATTGGATTTGCTTTGCCCTCTGCCCTGTTTAAAGGAGACCCTGGCCCCCCTCATTTCTGAAGGGCTGGTGCATTCCCTGGCTGTCTAAGCTGCCCTGCTCATTGGCCTGTCCCTGTGATAACAGATGGTCCCTGTGGTAACAGCCTATTATAGAGGCAAAGGGCTAAGTACTCTGTGTGTTATTAATTTAATCCCACCAACAGCTTCACCATGTAGGTGTACTGTAATTTTTATCCTTACCATTTTACAGATGAAGAAACGGGGGTACAGAGAAGCCAAATCATTTTTCCAAGATCATACAGCTAAGAAGTACTCAGGTTAGGAATGGAATGAGGCAGGGGCTCCAGAGGCTGCCTTTAACCACTACATCAGGTTTAGAGGCACCTGATTCAGTGATCACAGGTCTGAAATACTGATTTCCATTTCTCTTCAACTCCTTTGTGAGTTTCTGGTACTTGACTTATTCAAAACAATAATGGTAAAATATAAACTCAAAGGAAATTCTTACAATATTATAGTAAACCAATATGAAATATTTTTAAGGGTATAGAAGAGTTCATACAACACTGTTCATTAATTTATCATTATTAAAGTGTTTAAACCATACACAAAGGAAAACATGAAGAAGTGATTTAAATTTTTGACTATAGGTAATTTTAATTAAATATAATATGGAAATTGATACTTAAAGGAGATGACAAATATGGTTTATCCATATTTGAAAGCTTAGAAATATAAATCTGCTATTTATAAAAGATTTGAAATAAACACATTAACAACAATGTGGCCCTTAAGAACGTCCTAAGAGCAGAGCCTTCGGGTCATTAACAAGGACATATGTATTAATGATTTGGAATAGTCATAGAAAAATAATACACTGAGTACACCTAAAGCAAATACAATGTTATGCGAATTATATCTTGATAAAAGCAAAAATACACTGAATTTATAAAAGCAGGCAATATGCAGGGTACATTCCCTCCAACTTGTCTTTACTCCTGAGGAAACATGGCTTATGGAATATTTATGTTTATGGAACAATGTTCTATTTGATCATACTTCTTGTATTTTGAAACTTAATTGAAAAATTATTGCTAAAACAATAGATTCTTTATTTCTTTGGTTTGTCCAATTTTAAAAAGAACTCACTACATTCTTCAGTGTGATTTCTATTATAAATTTGGAGTTAACCATGTTTGTTTGCATTTTTAGGCATCCCAATTTTATATGCATTATTTTGGTGTAAATTTGGTTTACTCTTAACTTTTAAGGGATCTATTTCCTCTATAAAACAATCTCCATCTACATTCTGTTTTATGACCTTTGGTTGGAAGAATCAGAATTTTCAAATGTTGGCATGTGCGTGTGTGTGAATGAAGGAATTCATGGGCACATAAAGGACTTTATTCTGAGTTGGTTAGTGAATGCTGTGAGGGTGTGTTGATGATCTAGTTATCAATATTCTAGCACACATGGCTACTCACAGATACTTCCTGATGATTCTCCCTGCGACATAGTCCAGGCACTTGTACACTGAAAGGAATAGGCTCCATGATTTACAATCCTGACCCTTATCATCCCTGTATGTTCCTAATTATGCACTTTGGAGCTGGTTTTTAGACTTTCAACTTCATTTGTTCAAATTATTACTCTTAAGCTGCCACTGATTTATTTTTAGCCACATTGTTCTTTTTTCCCCTTTTTTGAACTAATGGGAAGTAAATGAGAAATAAAAGAATTACTTTATATTTCATCTTTTGTTTCTCCACAGAGTGTCACTCTTCTCCAGAAATTTATTCAGCTCATTTTTCTATAGTACAAGGAAGAGTTTTAAAAGCAAATGGAGTTTAAGAATTTAATGTCATTGTTTTTAGTCTTAGCAAAACAATATAGAGAATTTAATTTTAATGTTATTAAATAGCAGTGTTGTAATTTTACAGTTCTCAAAGAAATCTTATTCATTTAATCACAGTGATAGAAGTGATGAAATTAAATTACCAAAAATTGGCAAAATAAAATCACCCGTAATTATGTCACCAAAATTCAGCTGTTATTTTATTTTTTAGTATTTATTTTCAGTGTGAGCACCCTTGTAGATTTTTCCATAGGTTTAATTAGAGTGTGATCTCATTTTATATCCTGCTTTTTCACTTAACATAAAATAATTCCATATTGTTGTGTATTTTTAATAACCAACATTTAGAGTGCATCAGGTACATTCTTGTTAATGTGACATAATTTAATCACCCTTGATGATTGAACATTCAGATTCTTTTCTTTTTCCCTTTATACTTAATAAGGGTATAAACATCTTTATAAATACAACTTTTCCACACTTTAAATTGTGATGTGGATTATCTCCTTATGATTGGTTCTCAGATATAGATAAGAGGGAATGACCATTTTTATGCTTTTTGAATACTACTACACTATTTCAAAAGGATTAAAGCAATTTGCACTAGCAATCTACAAGTGTTTAACCATACTTTTTACCAATGTTAGGTATACTTTGTCTCTGTTTGCTTATGTACTATGCTAAAAGTGGCAATGTATTGTTTTATTTTATATTGCTTTTACTACTAGAGAGTATTATAGTTTCTCCATATATCTGCTTACTAAATGTGAGTTATCTGCTTATATCATTTAATTATTTATTTACTTGATGCATAATTTTCTTTTAGCAATTTTAGGAGTTACACTTATAAGTACTATTAACATGTCTGTTTGGTTAACTGCAAAATATTTTAAGTCTGCTTGTCTTAATCAAAATTTTATATTCTATTACAAATCTTTCTTTTGTAATAGAATATAACAGAGAATGAACATATAAAGCTTTCTTTTTAGCATATAATTTCTCTTGAAACTGGATTTATTTTTTGATGGCCCAAATGATACTATGATATTCTTCACTATACCTATATTTGGTAGCCAAGAACATTTTAGGTAAGAAAGAAAACTGACAATCTCCTAATTTTATAGGAAAAGAGGAGCTAAAGTTGTGTCCAAGAGAGTTGATGATTTCAAGGAAAAGTTTCAACATGAACTTGGAAGAGTTTTAGATCCGTAAGTTAATGATTGATTTCAAATTGATGGTCTTTGGATGGAATTAAAAAGTACACTTGCGGTAAAATTGGTGTGTCTTCTATTAGATTCTATCTATTAAATAAGCAAGTCATCCTTCTGTGTTAACCAGGGAACTCTATTAGCTTCTATGGAGTTTGGGGCTCCAGGAAAGTGCTGAGTCCTGCAAAATGGAGAGGGCATTTGGAGAAAAGGGAGGGAGAATTTTGTGTAAATCTTTATTTCTGGGATATCACAAGTTTTAATTTATTGTATTACATTTTACTTTTTCTTCTCAGTTTCTGTCTCTATGTACTCTCATAATTCTGCTTTGAATATGTTCTGTTTTTTTCTTTTTAAATCTGGGCTATTGAAAGCCGGTGAAAGCATTTAGCCACATTAACGCATGCAGAAAATTAGATAAGAGATATGTTAGAGAACTGTTAGATCTTCTTAGTTTGGTCATAGGAGAAAATATAGGCTATTAAAAACATATGGCAAACATATTTTAAATTCCAGAGATGCCATGTGGCAAGCATTTTAACTGAAAGATTTGTTTTCTTTGATAGCATTGCAGAAACAATGAATGTTCCCCCAGACCATACATTTGGAGCGTGTCTCCGTCCAGAGGAGTACGGTAAATATATAAACTTTCTCCTTAATAAACAAACAAAATCCCCACAAAGTTATGCAGTTAACTTCATGTATCCTTCTCTCAAAGCTTCTAATTTTAAAGGCTTAAAATATTACATTACTGTTAAGGAGAACAATTTATAGCACAAGAAAGAAAAGAAATTTGTATTATGTTTGAAATGCGTACAGGTTAAAGCCTTTGTAATGAGTGACTTAAATGTCATTAAGGCTCAGAATTTTATTTAGACAGCAAATATGGCTGGTATTAAGCCAAAGTGAAGTGAGGCAGCTTTTTAATTAATTCAAATATTGTACTAGGAGGCCTTTGTTGTTCAAAATGTGGTCTGCAGACTGGCATTGTTTTTAGAAATGCAGAATAGCAGACTCCATCCCAGACCTGCTGAATCAGAAGCATTTTGAAAGTATTCCTAGATGAATTGTAGGCACATTCAAGTTTGAGAAAGCACTGTACTCTATAATCATGTAATGAAGAACCACTCTTCCTACCAGCCAATCACTCAATCCATAAATTGGCAAAAGAAACTTACCAAGACTTTGTCTTTATTTCTGAGAAATCTAAGTAGCAGACATCCAAAGAGAAAATATGCTAAAGCTTATCAGGATTGGGTTGTATATCAGGGATTTTCAAAATATAGTCTGCAGTGTACCTGCTTTGAAACCATCCAGGGAATCTATTAAGTGTGCAGGTTCCTGGGACACATGCCCAAATATTCTGATTCAGTGGGTCTTATGAACATTAGGGGTTAAGAATTGATACTGACAAAGTAAATATTTATTGAGCTTATGCAACACAGTGTTTCAGAGAATCATTAATCACCACGTTAGGAGATTTTATTTTGACTCAGTTTTTAGAGGAACTATTACATGTTTAGTGGATGCCTATCCATCTTAGAGTCTGTTCGTACCTGTAGGAAGGGGTAAGGGATGATTTAGAAAACACACCAATTAACCTTAAAAATAGGTAGGTAACCATGGTAAACTTGAGGGCGGGCTTCACACTGGTGGATGCTCCCTTTGCTGTCAGTTGGATTCTCAGGGCCTAGCACACAGATGAACTCTAGGTCTTTTGTTACTGCAATTGGAGTTAAATAATAGTATCTATTCTGTGGAAAGCTCCAGAGTCTGCCTGTTCCAGGGGCATATTGGTTTCTTGACTGGGCCTGGATTTTGCTCTTACCCTTACCTAGGGAAATACAGACAGCTTCACAAAGAATGTCTTGTTCTTAGGGCCTGGAATTATTGGTTATGATAAGTTGTTTCCAGACAGAGTGCAGGGCCTGTGCCTAGCCTAGAGTCCACGAGGGTAGAGGCAACCTGAAGAAGAATCCAGAGCAGCTGGGCAGTGGGGCATGGTGGGAACTGGTTGCAGGCAGAGTACAACCGAGGAGCTCACTCAGTGTTCCGACAGCTGTGTTGTGTAGTGAGGTCATGGATCTCTCTCTTAGGGCCAGAGCTTGTACTCCTGATTCCAGCTCTTTGGAGATGGCTCTTGAGTAATTGCAAGTGACTTGATATGAGTTTCACAAATATGCTTTCAGGGTCAGGTCAGAAGAAGGTAAGAGCACACCTCTCATTTACCAGGAGCCACACCTGGTGGGGTTCTGTTGGGAAAACCAGGTGGAATTGGAAAAACAGCCATTCGGATGGTTAGTTTTGGTTGTTAATGGAGAGGGAAGGTCTCTGAAGAGAGAAAAATTCAACCAAAGGCCATCTCATGAAAGATGGAGGACCTCTGGTCACACAGACAGCCACCCAAAGAGTTTATATCTGGGGAAACTGTCCTGATTCCTCCCTGATCAGACCTTACTTGTTTTTGCCCACTTTAGGGTGGTTGGTGGTAGCTGGCCTCATTTCAGATGGCCTTGGTTTGAGGTACTTGTCCAGGTCCTGGAACAAGTCTTAACTGTAGTCGTCTTGCCCACCCTTAGGGTCCACCCTTAGAAACAAGACTTGTATCAGAGTGTTACAGGATTAGTTCCTGACTTTATAAGGAAGAAACTTAAGAGGCTGCAATGAGCAAAGAACCTGATATGGGGCCTTATACAGAATAGCTGTAAATATTGATTGCCTTGCAACCAATATTGTGATCTGAATTACCACCCAGCATTTTGCAGCCAACTACCAGCATGGGGGAAGGGAAGGACAACTACCAGGAAGGGAAGGACATAGGTGAGGGGAAAAGGAACAGAGACAGAAGGTTTCCTCTGGTGACATCAACCAAACCATCACAGCGACATGGCAACTCCAGTCTGATCTCTGTCACCAGGAACATCCAAGAAGCTTCCTGACAGGGGATGGCGAGGGGTGGGGCTTAGGGGCAGTGCGTGTGCTTGTACTTCATGTCCTAACTCCGGGGAGTTCCTCTAAGTCATGAAGGCCAAACGGAAGCAAGGGCCAGGTCCCTGTTCTGGGGGATTTAGCAGGTGGATCGGAGAGTTTATTCTCAATAACCGAGGGGATTGTGGGTCAGGACTCAGTTAGTGGAGCTGGGGATGGGGTTGGGGGTCTTCTGTATTGGCAGTGGTGTAGGGGGAAGCAGGGCTGAGAAATGGGAACTTGTTATGTAGACTGGAAGCTCATGTTAGAGGGAGAGGAAATTAGACTCCAATATTTACAAGAACTCTCTAGAAGTTTAGTCAGCTCTGAGGCACACAGTGGCCGCACATGGAATCAGCCCCAGTTTTCAGATCCTCAGCCTTGTAGACAAATGTCTGCTAAAAGGCAGACAGGCAAGGGCTTTACTGTCTTAGGAAAAGGACTTGACAGCTGAGTGGGGCTGCTGATTCCAACATTATTCATTTCCTATTTTTCAGATTTTTTCATTGAGCAGAGAAGTCACATAAGACAGAAATATTAGTTTGTTTTATCAGTTACTTTATATACTCTTTTTTACATGAGAATTTTCTGTCATGTGTAACAGTGTTGGAGTTAGGTGTGAGTTTTTTTCATTCACAGAAGTTGCTTGGTATCTTTTAGAATGGGAATAATATTGACAGACTTTTAATTCAGATAAAAGACTTTTATTTTGCCTTTTCAATAGGAGCTGGTGATCTCATCCATAACAGACTTCCTGGTGAGTGTCTTCGAGGCAAGGACAGGCAGAGAGCCCTGACTGCAGCGGTTCGACATCACTTGAAGAAAGTTAACTACCAAAACTTCAACAGTTTGCTGGCAGCTTTCAGGCACTATGACAAGGCCAGTAGTAGAGCAGAGTTTTTGGTCTGTGCGTGGACTTACAGATTCCAGAAGGCTGGTGTAGATCAGGAGTCAGTAGACTATGGCCTGTGGGTCAAATCCGTCAGTCACCTTTTGTAAATAGTTTTGTGTGTTCATTTAAGTATTGTTTATGGCTGCTGTGGCAATACAAACTCAGAGTCATGCATCAGAGACTGAATGGTCTGCAAAACCTAAAATATTTACTTTATGGTTCTGGGCAGGAAAAGTTTGCTCACCCCTGGAGTAGATCAGTGGTTGTCAAAGTATGGCTCTTTTACCACCATCAGAATCACTTAGGCACATGTAAGAAATGTACACTCCAAGACCCACCCCAGACCTACTGAATTAAGAAGTCAGGGTTGGAGCCTGGCAATTGTGTTTTAACAAGCCCATCAGGTAATTCTGTTGCACATTCAAGTTTGAGAACCATTGTTGTAAATATGAAACTGTAGTGTGCTGGGAACAAGGGGAGGGGCAGCACTCTGGATCCCTGGGGAAGACTTCTGGGGTATAGACAGTCTGTACCTAAATCTGAATATGTTCACATAGCATTGTCAATCTAGGTCCAAGTTAAGCTTAGAACATCTCTCCTCTGGGGGAACAGGGTGTGGTTTCAGTTTCAGTTTTGAGACAGCAAGATCATTCAATTTCAAGCTACTCTCAGTTCTCTCTTTTGATAAAGTCAGATCAGTCTAGGGCTGCATAAGTACCTCAAATCTAAGGATACCTAAGGGGGGCAGTATTGCACAGACTGTTTGTGAAACATGGCACATTTTTTGTCAGTATGCCTGTGAAGTTGTTATTTATTTTTGTCACATGCATTCTCTTTGTAAGGAGACCCAGTTCTTCTAAAGGAAATAACTGTTTCATTGAAGTATCTGAGTTGTTTTCACTTCATGAACATGAATTTTGTACTGATTGTACAACCCTTTTTGACTTGGCCACCAGGAAACTCAGAGCCAGTTCAACAAAACATGTCTAGTTTGTGAACATGATCTTACAGCAGTACATTTTGTGTGCTTTTTGTATTCCAGGTTTAATCTTATTTTATTCCATTTTTATTTTCCCTTTGCCCTGATGTCCTCACTTTCTTTGGCTCTATTTAACTGTGCTTATTTTTCTAGGCAGCTTCAAGACCATTTTAGAATGAGTCAAATATAAGCAAATAAAAGCTCATACATAAACCTGTCATGATAAACTGCATCATAATCTTGATATGAGAAGAAAAAAAAGAGCAGAATAATTTTTATCCAAAAAGGAAAGATACCATTCCTGTCTCTCTTCCAATGTTGAGTATAGTTTTGGAAAAGTTACACTTCATATATTTTATCTGGAAAAGATCTTGGTCACTCACTCATTGGCTCATTCATTTTAAGCCCATTCATTTAATTTGTCTTTAGATTAAGGGCCCATGTGCCTGTGTTGTACTGTTGAATGAAAAATGGACTATTTCGTTTAAGTTTGTACTAATTATATAGGGACAAACAATCAGTCATCAATGACATTTCTCACAAAGTTGTGTTTAAAGAAAACACAAGTATTCAATGGTTTCTCTGTTTTTTAATAGAGACCAATTGCTATTTACAGGTAATTTGAAAACAATTCTTCAGAATTAAAATACATGAGCTAAAATAAGTACATTTTAAACTTCACTCAAATCCAAATATCTTTCAAAGATAATATCGGGAAATTTGCATAGTAGTGATGTGAGTAAGAGTAGCTACCACAATACATGATGCTCTGCTTTTTAAAAATTCTTCATTTGAAATGTAATTACACGCAAGATGATCATCTTAATAGCTGCAGATTATCTTAGTGAACCACCAGGTACATTCCTTATGATAAAATTAAATTAAGCAGAGAGGAAATTACTGAGAATTACTGAATGCTGATATACCTTTTAAATAGTTAACTTTTAATATACATATTAGTGCTCAGTGTCCTTGAGGAGCTTTTTTTCTGAGAGGGTAATAAGATGTGGGTCTTCCTAGTATAGCTGTAGGATAATTTTTGATGGTTTGACTCATATTGTTGAATGCCCAGATTTAATTTAATGGAAAAATAAAACAAAACAGAACAAATAAACCATGATTCTCTAAATGAAACTTCTTAGTTTAGAGGACTAATTCTGTTATTTATTGAATACTCATAATATATGAAACATTGTTCCAGATAGTGTGTAGACTTTCCACTTAGGGAACTAAAAATGTAGAGGGCAAAATAAAGATTCATCACATCCAAAAATTATCACAACAGAGTCCCATATTTTCAAAATAAGTCTCTATAATTCAATTCTTTTTATTCTAATTATTATCTAGGAATTAGCTGAGATGGGGTGACTCCTTTTGGGGGATACCTGCATCCAGTGACAAAATTGGCTCACTGCCATGTGTGACCAGGAACTGTGAGGAGGGTGGACAGTTTAGGGGAAGCCTGTCCTGAAGGTCAGCAGTACCAGCCGGCTGGGGATAGTTGGGAGCAGGAAAGGTTCATTGAATACCTTGACTAAAAAGCTCATCGTTGAATAGCTTTTTACTATAAGACACACCATTGTCAGACTGAAAATGGGCCAGAAAGCAAAACACACAACTGAGCTAATTTCACAGGCATACTGTTGTGACTGGAGCTGGCTGGCTGGCTGGCAATTCCAGACCTTGAAGGTGTGTCAGCAGTGTGAGGCACCAGCAGAGCTGAGAGGTGGCAGAGGTTCCACGTGGTCAGTTTACCAGGAACATGGGGGCAGTGCCTGTGTGGTGTGTCCTCACTCACCATGAGACAAGGTGGCCAACCTCTGAAAGGGGTCCCAAGTGCGGCATGTGGTGGCGCCTCTGCCTCAGAAACAGGGCACTGTGCTTTGTGCCCTGCCTGTGAGTGTGTTGCTGTGTCTGGGGCAATGGGTCCAGGCAGCAGAGGTGGCAGTCTGGATGGCTCAGGCTCAACGGGAAGCTGTATCCCTGTCATTCCTGTCAGGGAGTGGACCCTTATCACGGGCGTCTATGTGAATTACCCAGGGGGTTCACTCAGCAGCCATTATTTGTTTCTGAGTTTTCAAAAAGAGGCATTTTTTAATCTTCCAGTCTGTAGTTTTCCAAGTGGCGAATGAAACAGGCAGGCCATGGCAGCACTTCAAGAATCACTAAAAATAAAACAGGTTCATCAAGGGGAGCGTTTGGCCAGGGTCATGAGAATAGTTTTGAGTTTTGCCCACTGAGTAGAGCGACTGTGTCTAGTTTTGGTCCTGCGTAGCTCTCTTTGAGGTTGCAAGTCCCCGCAGCCTAGTGAAGACCACTGGGTTTCAGGTCAGTGAACCAGGTCCAGGGGCTCTGACTTTCAGAATCATTAGTCACAGAGACCTGTAGCTCCAAGGGGTCACTGGGGTTGCGGGGCCCCAAAGGTACTGGCGTTCTCTACCTGTAGCTCTTCCTCCAGAGGTACTTGCAAGTATTCCTAATACAGGCATGTAAAGCATCAATACCAATTACACATTCGGCAGTGGAAGCCAGCGAAATAGTATATCATTTTATTACTGAGTAGGATGATGACCTTGGCACTCATACGCAAAGAAGCCATGGAAGTGTGAGTCCCCGCTTGGACAGAGCATGCAGCCCTTGATGCCCTCTGGGGACAGGGAGACCTTGGTCCTACATTGGACATCTTTCTCCTTAGCAGCTGAGGTTCAGGGATGCTGGAGGGAGGGAGAGAGCGTGAAGAGAGAGAGAGAGTGGCTCTGCACCCAGCAAGTAACAACATCTCCTGTGAGTTTTGAGTGGTACAGAGGGGAATGCAGCTCAGTGAAACAAGCCACCTGTGTTCTCATTCCACACACATCCCTATCCTGGGTAGCAAAGTCATCATTGCTGATACCATGTATTGCAGTTTTGGGGGTCCCTTGATTCAATAATCACAGTGCACATTGCTTTTTGGATAGGGCTCTGGGGTTTCCATTTTTTGTTGATTTGTGTTTGTGGCAGAGACTTTCATAAAGAAGCCTACCTTAATCTAGGGCAATTGCAGCTCCCTCATTAAAATGTGTTTTAGATTCCCATTCTGCTTCATCCTATGGTTAGGGATATTTTCCAGGCCTATAGGTCTGACCACAGGAATGTATCTAGAATTAACTGGGTCAATTTCTCATTCTTCAGGGGATCACCTTCATCAGCCTTTTAAATCCAGTTCTGGGCTTAAGCCCTGTATACTGGTCAGTAAGTCATTTATGGTTTCCTTTGGGAATTTGTCTTTCTTAGGGAAATCTCTCTGAGAGGGCCAGAGTTCCCTGCGACAACCAGGACCCACTGCAGAAACCCGCAGACCCTTTACTGTCACCTCCCAGTGGAAGTAAGGCTGGTCTGATAGACTACGGGAAGGGCTGAGCAGGAAGACCACTGGCTGGCGCCTCTCTTCCTTACTGAGCATTCTGTGCTCTGTCCCCCATCTCCTTAGACAATCAGCCAATTTCTGCCCAGAGCCTTCATAAATTTCCCTGCTTTCACACTCAGCAGAGATGCTCCTGTATTTACTATTGTCTGAAAGGAGGTGGAAACTTTCCCTCCTCTCCCTACAAGGGTGAATCTAGTGCTGATTATTACAGAGGGTTCTGGCTGCCAGCTTACTAGCATGTCCCTCTGGCCCATGGGAGTGTTGACAGCAAACAGGCAACTGTCTTTGAATCCATCACGCTATACTTGGCCTGCAACTGCTTCCCCAGTTTCTCCTCATGACCAGGCTGTGGAGTGGAGAACCATTTACTGCCCAGTTGGAACACCAGAGACATTAAAAACTTTGAAAGCATGGAAAATTATAGAGAACTGTCAAAGTACACAGCCTCTGTCAAGGGCAAATCATGGCTGCACCTGCTCTACCATAGCATAAACAGCTTGATTTAAGGAAAAAATTATTAAAATAGAATGAACAAAGATTCTGGGCCACACTCTGTTCCAACCAGGACTGACATTACTGTGCATCTATCAGGATGAGACAATGAGAACTAATCTCATTGAACATTTGACCCCTCCTATGTGCCAAATAAGACAAATTCTTCAAATTTATGTCATAGAGCTGTTTCTTTTGTCTTAAATGAAACAATTCATGTCACCTACTCTACTCTTGAAGACAACACTCCATCTTTTTTTTTTGCTTGTGTCTAACAGAAGGGGGATGGGGTAATTGATAAAGATGAACTTCTGGAAGTTTGTGACCAGTTCAGCTTGCGTTTGGATGAGAAACTGCTGGACCAGCTCTTTGACTACTGTGATGTGGATAATGATGGGTTGATTAACTACCTCGAGTTTGCAAACTTTCTGAACTGGAAAGATAAGATGCCTCTTAAAGAGTATGAAGAGAGGGTCATTATTAAAGGTATTTAATTTTTGAAGGTTTGTTAAATGGACTTCTACACTTTTATTTTCCTGGGAGCTCACCTCTTGCCAACTTTAATATTATATATTTAAAATATGCACATATATACATATTTATTTGCTTGTTTATGCAGAGATTATCTGTGGATGGATAGGAATGAATTTGGTAACACTTTTGATTTCCAGGGAAGGGGAACTGGGTAGCTGACGGACAGGGTGGCAGCAAGACTCACTTTTTAATCTGTGTGTTTGTATCTTTTGAATTTGGAGCCATGTATCACTCCTTCAAAAGAATAAATGGAAGCAAAAAAGTTTACACAGAAGCTCAAAATAGGAAAACAGCTCTTCAGAAAGTTGTTTGAAACCATTCTTAGAATAATTAGCTCCCCTCCTGTAGGAAAAGTCACTAGTAAAATAGAATTTGGTGTAAGCAAATTTGATCTTTTAAATTTTGTAAGAAAAGGAAAAACATAATCTTTACCTATATTTAAATATTTTCATGTTTATACATTATCTTCCTACATCAGTAACCATATATAATTATATGTAGATACATATGTGTATGTGCACATGCATAGATTTTAAACATAGCTAAAAATCACAGTGAATGTGCTGTTTTTATTTGGCTTTTTAAAATTTGACTTTCAAATATCCATGGAATGATGAGATACTTTTATGGTTTCTGTAAGCTTCATTTTCAGTTCCCTCATGCTGATGTATTATGAATTACTAAACCATTTCCTCACTCTTTAAAATTTAGGTTATTTCCAGATATTTTAAAAGTAATATGGGTAACGCTGTAATGATTATCATCTCAAGCTGCCTGTTTCTAATTATATCTCATTTCCTATGAATATTATTATTATTGTCCCAGAAGTAACTTTCTGTATTTTCATTTTGCTTTTCCAAATGACTGCACCAATTTGCAATTTTATCAGTGAAGGCTCTGAGAAGGTTTTACTCCAACCTTTCTACCATGGAGTGTTATTTCAAACATTCTTGAAATTTAGCTGGTATATAATGATACCTCAATTTACTTTAATTTTCAAATCTTGGTTATTAGAACTATCTTTTTTTAAAAAGGTTATTTATATTTTTATCTCCTCTTGAAAACTCTCTCTTCTAAAAAGTAAAGATACTACTGTTTTTGCCTTTATTCCCGGGTCATGCCTTTCTGTGAGGCCAAAACCAAATCTGGGGATTGATTATGTGAGCGTTTATGTGTTCCTGGGATGGCCTTTCTCTTTTATCTACTAGAAAAGCAGAATCTTTACCTAATGAAGCTTTTCATAGGAAATAACTGTTCCCCGGTCTTCTCAGGAATAAAGAGAGGGTAACACAGCGTTTTCCTTCTTGGCACAGCTCTTGAAGTAGAGGGGGAAGTAGAAGCCTGTTTTGAAGTCAGGTAGTTCTTCACATTGTTCCTGGATTTTGGGTCCTGCATTTTCCGTGGGGCTCTTTGGGTTTTCATCTTCTTCTGAGTTAGTGGCCAGTGGGTCCGTTAGAAGGGGCTCATGAATGTTTTGCCCAGAATTTTCTTGCCTCAGATTCTATCTTCCTGGAGAAATGTGGGTAAGAACTACAAGGCAGTGGCTTTTGAACAGTTTTCTGAGAAACTGTTTTTCATGCTTTCTCCAGATTTCTGCTGTTTTGAGGGGAGCAGGGAGGGGATTAGAGGGTCTGGGATGAACGCTTTCACAGCGAGCATTACCAGGAGCTGAACGGGGCGTGCAGACTTTTGATAGGTTTGCCGCGGTTGCCACCCCAATCTGATGATGGCGCAGGACTGCTTTTGCAGCTCTCGCTTGGGTTGTCCCAGGTCCTTGAGCGTTCCTCTAGTGACTGAAAGACCACAGAGCCCTCTAGTGCCAGCTGTGTAGTTACCAGCTCTGTGAAAAAGCTGTGTCAGCAATTCACTCTTCAATTTCAGCCTTGACTCAGCGAAGCAAATTTGAAAAAGAGGACAGAGTCTTATTACCATTTCAGTTCTACCTCAGGGTTTTCTTTTACCCACTGATTTGAAGGGAGTTATTTATTTAATCAGTTCCAGAGCTCACAATGAGTTCTCATGGTTTCATCCAAATGCCTGTACAATACAGCCCCAATACATGGGGCTCCCTGCCGTGATCAGGTATGTGTGGGATCTATAACTCCACGTAAGTTGTCTCTCTCCCTAGGGCACAGTGCTAGGAACAACTCTGGGAATACTGAAGTTCAAGTTAAATATGAAAGTAAACTCTAATTTTACAAAAGAGGAATGAAAATAATAGGTTCTACATTCTCATTTTGGTCTCTCAGATGGTAATCATGTTCAAGTTTCCTCGTGTATGACTTTGGCTTGAACTTGCTCTTCCACAGTGGGGTGCTGGGCATCAGTGAAGGGTTTATACCAGCCTAATCTCAGTTTCTACCAGTGGAAGACACTACATGGGAAGACTAATTTTGTTGCCAAGCAGCAACCACCACGCAGTAACTTCTTCCTGCCCTGTTCCCCTTTCCCTTTTTGCTTAAAGGTAGAAAACCAGATTGTGCAAACCCTGCTGAAGCTCATGTTGAAGGATCTGAACCAACCCTCCTGATAAAGCCTGAAGATATTGTCTTCAAAGAACCAGGGAGCTCAGAAAAGACTCTCCGGACACTTCTGAGGCCAAATGATAAAGTTTCTGATCACTATAAGACAACTTCTTCTGAGATCAGTGCGGTTGTAGGAGCTGTTCCTTCTACTTGTGAGTTTGTTTGTCACATTATTAGCTGAGTTTTACGAGGATTGGCAAACCTAGAAGTGAAGGGCCTTTTGTCTGTCCTTTTATTGTCCCCAGCCTCCATCTCATTTGACTGGAAATTTCTCAAAGCCTGGGACCTTTCATCAGTTCTGGATCTGAAGCACCCAAGGGATCTCAATAAATGCAGGCCAAACTGAATTATTGTTAATGATTCCACGTAAAATGATTCTCTGTGTATTAATGACATTGAAACCATCATAGATCAGCATACTGAACGTTATATAGACTTTACTAAGTATTAGAAGACTTTTAAATCATGTGATTTTTGTCCATAAACAGATTTGCCATCAAATATTTGAAGAGCTCTCACAGAACTATTCTCTTGCTTCCTTCCCCATCTATTAGTTTGTTAAGGATGTCATAACAAGTACCACAAACTGTGTGGCTTAAGCAACAGAAATGTATCTTCTTACAGTTCTGGGGGCTGAAAGTCTGAAATCAAGGTGTCCGCAGGGTTGCCTCCTCCTGAGGCTGCGAGGGAGCCTGTGTGCAAGGCCCCCCCCTTAGCCTCTGTGGATTTGCCGGCCATCTTTTGTGCTCCTTGGCGTCGGCTGCATCACCCTGATCTCTGCCTTCAGCCTCACATTGCGTCTCCTGTGTGCATTGCAATGACCCTATTTCCAGATAAGGTCACATCCTGAGGTACTAGGACTTTAACATATGAATCTGTTCGATCCATAACAGCCCATATTTCAATATTAAACATGATGAATATTGGTTATTTAAAAAAACTTTTTTATTTGTCAAAAATCTCTTCCTTGGACTAAGGACATGATTAAGGATACACATTTTTTTAAAAACTGGATATGTAGATATGCTGTTCATTCTGGCATAATGAGATCTCGCTACTCCCCTTAGAATGATGCTGTTCAATAGAAATATAATCGGAGTCATATATATTTAAAAATTTTTGGTAGCCACATCAAGAAAAAGAAACTAGCAAAATTATATATATATATATATATAATATGTATCCCCAAAATATACTTGTAACATGTAATCAATATAAAATGATTAAATATTTCACATTATTTTTTGGGGGTACTAGTTCTTTGAAATTCGGTGTGCATTTTGCACTTACAGGACATCTCAATTCAGACTAGTCACATTTTAAGAGCTCAATAGCCACATGTGACTGGGGGCCACTGCATTGTGCAGCTCCGTTTTAGAATGTTCTGTTTCCTTCCCTCATTGATGTCCTAGGTTATCCCATCTATGGTGTTCCAACCATTCGGTCTGATATTCCTGCCCCCCGAATTCGTCGTGTCAGTGATAGAACTAATTATGGGGAAGAGGGCAATGCCTATTCATTACTGCATCCTACCATCTTTGGCCAGAAAGGAGTATATGAAAGAGACTTCTTCAAGCCAAAATCAAAAAAAGAGGTACAGCATATTATTTCAAAAGGGTTGAAAGAAACATGAACTTTACATAAACATACTGAGATGAAATGTTTATCAAAAAACTACTTAATTTAGACTTTTCGAAACTTGAGCTTTTATATTACAAAAGTCATCCAGATTCCCAAATACAGGATTCTTGAGGATAATGTTCAATTTGGTTGTGACATTTTGGTCCAATTCTTGAAGAAGAATTTGTTCTATAATAGGAAGCATTACATTCATGTCATATATTCACTATGACCTATATAAAAAAAGACACTGAACATTATTCCTAGTTGAGAAAAAGCAAAAAGGATCAAGCTCTTCCTTGTGTAACTATGCTTATGGTCTTGGGTCATTTGGCCTCCAGAGAGTAAGTATGAGGCAGCCACTATTAACACGTTTCAGATCATCTGCAGCAAACACTGATTTGAAATATTCTGTCCTGTTGCCACACCATATATCAGCCCACGTGTCTTGTTTTGTGTGTGTGTGTTGTGTTGTGCTTTTTTTTTTCTTAGAAAAAACGGTCCTCATATCCCAGGTGATTTTCTTCCTAGATGGGTTATAGAAGCAGGAGCAACCAGCTAGGTCCAAATAGCCTGGCCCCTGGGCTTCCGAGGGCTGAGGATGCAGAGCAGACCAGCTGGCCTCCAGCTGCACTTGTGGAAAGCAGGGAATGATCTGGGACCACCTGCTTCTTCGGAACTTTCATATCCAGGGCCAGAAATATGAAAAGACATATGATGCCTTTGGGGACCTCAGATGAAGGGTTGATGGCCTAAAAACTTAGCTAAATACTAACTAAATAACAGATTCATTCCAAGGGAGAGAGGAAGGGAGGAGAACTTTAGAGGATGATGCCTGCTGGCTGGTCCCAAAGAAGAAGCCAGGACGCACCATCCACTCTAGGGGGACAGAGAAGAGACTGGCGATGCTTTCAAGTCCCTCAATCACTCTAAAGGGCCTGGGAGACCAAAGTTCAGGGTTGCCAAACAAGACAAAAGTTTCCTGCTTGTTTCAGGATGCCTACAATTCTTTTAACTAGGAAGTCATATAACTGGAGTCTCGCAGTTCTAGATAAAAAAGAAGAACCCAAAGAACTAATGTTAATTTGGAATAGACGGGTTTCTGTCAAAGTGTTAGCCAATCAGTACCCTACGAAGGAACGTCGAGCTAGGGAGGAATGCCTCTTGAGGAGTGGAAAGGGGATGGGGCTGCACGAGACTGAGTCAGACCGCTGGATTCTCTACCTGCCCCGGTGGTGGGGAGGCCACTGTTGTGTTTGCTGCCTAGGGCGGCCGCTGGCATCACTGCTTTTTTGAATTGCGAGTGTATTTGATTATGCTGTTAATTTCCCATGAGGGCACATCATTTCTAGGGCATCTTTTAATTGTTGTTCAGATTCTGTTTAGTAGATGTATTCTGCGGCTCTTCTATTTCTTTGGCTTTCCTCTGCACTGTCTAGCTTTCCTTCCCAGTTCCCTCCTTGCTTTGTTCTTGTATGCGTCATGGTAAATGCTTTTCCGCTTTGAAATTTAGTTTCATCTTTCTTCAAAGCTTTACTTCCCTGTATTCATTCTAACATTTCTTTCCACTACTGGTTCCAGTATTTCCTTCCTCATATTTCCCTGGGACACATGAAGCGTGTTTTCCCTCTCCCCTCATCTCATGTGAGAATCATTGCTGAGCAATCATTGATAATCACAGTTGGCTGGTTTTCCCTGTGCTCAGCTTTGAGTTTGCTCAGTTGCTCACTCATACATACTCTTTCTCTCTGGTATTTGCGCACCCACAGCTGAAATGTTTACAACAGGCCAGTCAGAGCACCTTATAAGTGCTCTTATTTTAAAGAAAGGAAACTAATATTCAAGGGGTTTACGTGGTGCACATAAGATCATAGTGGGCAGAAATGACTGGGATGGAACTCAAATCTGGCAAGTCTTCAGTCTTTGACTCTTTACTCTCTCTGCTTGAATTACACTTTTTCCCTTCAAAATAACCAGAAACACTTAGAGTTGAAAATAATTTTATATGTTGGCAAGCATAGTTGAACACCCTAATGCTCATATTAGCACAATGACAGACCTAGAATTTTGTTATTTGCTAATTATGTGTAATAAATAAGCACACCCATACCCACAGACCAACACACACCTTTTTGGGGATAAAGATCCATAGTCTTAGATGTTATAAAGATATTTTAAAAATATAAATTTGAAAACATAAATCTTGGTCTGACTTTTAATGTGTTTTTTTAGATTGCACAGATATTAGGTAACATTGGTGTCAGCCTTTCTGATGAAGAATTTGAAAATGTATGGAATCTTGCATCCAAAAAACATCACCAAGGAGAAGTTTGTGTGGAGAACATCAGAAATGTTCTGGATGAGCTACAACATGCAGACAGGATCAAGTGTAAAACCACCACAATGTGATATTTTTGGAGTCCGTTCATTTAAGCAGGAGAATTGTTAAATCTGTGTTCATCTACAATGTTCAGTTCACTCTGGTTTTAGATAGTATGTCATAATTCAGCAGTCACTGTGGTGGGACTCAGATGCCTGTATGTGTTGCTAATAAATTTAATTTTTGGATTTAAAATTTTATTTTATTGTTTTCTATAAAGCACCAAAACGCTTGACAAGCCCTTGGAATTAACTTTTAACCTCACCCAAAGCCTAGTTCATAATGATAATAGAAGTTTGATGTGCTTAGTGTGCTGAAGAATTCTATGCATCTTAGTTGTTTGAAGTTCAAAGTCTGGTTTGTGATACCAAGTTCACAAAATATTGTCTTTAACATTCTATTTTTCTCGCTAGGTATCACTATTGACACACTGAAACTAAGTGGGCTTTTCATCTCCTGGCCTCTGATAAACCTTCATCCCAAGGAACAGAGTTTAGAGAGCAACATTGTTGAGTCCCAACAGTGACATGATGACCATTAGTTTTCATTATCTTTCTGTGTCCAGAAAAGCACGTTGTCCTTGAAGTATCTGAAGAGGACACAGCTGACCCCCCATTAGCTGTAGTTTTAGGGCATCATTAGTGACAAATTGCACCAAGCATTTCCCTCATGCCAGGCCTCTTAACACGTACACATGTGAGACCCTGGCTGGATGAGAAATAAATAGCTTCATTTATTATATAGGTGATTTATATTTAGGTTAAAAATTTTTAAATAATATTTTGAAATAATTTCAGACTCACAGGAGATTTGAAAAGTAGCACAAAGAATCATACTGTGGTGTGCTGGACCTGCTCTTCATGGTTCATTCAAGTCATTTGTGAGCATGTCCTTCGGCATTACATCCAGTGACCCCACATTGGTCCTTCCAACCATCTACAGCGGGAGTAGTTTCACTGAGGAAACACCAAATGCTACTGATCAGGGATTTCTTGCCCCAAAGAGAATGTTGTCAAATATTTACAAGCACATCTTCAGCTATCTATCTATCTATCTATCTATCTATCTATCTATCTATCTATCTATCTATCTATCTATCTATCTATCCATCCATCCGTCATCTATCATCTATCTTCTATGTACTATTTATCTACCATCATCTTCATCTATTATCTATCTTCTATCTGTCCATCTGCTATCTATTATCTATCTACTATTTATCTATCTACTATCCACTTATCCATTTACTGTCTATTGTCATTTTCATTTATCATCATCTATCATCTACTATCTATTTTGTATTATCTACTACCCACTATCTCTCTAATTTATCTTCTATCATTTATCTACTATGTATGTATGTATGTATGGGTGGATCTATCATCTACCTACCTCTCTATCATGTACCTATCTCTCTATCATCTAGCTATCAATCCATCTATTGACAAAGACAGGCTCCTTGACCAAACTTTAATCTAGCATCTCTGAGCTTTTTTCTCAACTAGGCCTTGATCTTGGGCTTCTGTGTCCATCCTTACTGGGCCTGCATTACCCACTTTAAGCAAGAATCCTGTTAAGTCTAGAGAGACTCCTCCTACTCTTGCTATCTGACTACCCTACATAGCTGATCAAATTCTTCATTCCCATCTTTTTTTTTGGTATCATTAATATACACTTACATGAGCAACATTGTGGTTACTAGATTCCCCCCATCATCAAGTCCCCACCACATACCCCATTACAGTCACTGTCCATCGATGTAGTAAGATGCTATAGAATCAATACTTGTCTTCTTTGTGCTGTACTGCCTTCCTGGTGCCCCCTCCTGCATTATGCATGCTAACTGTAATGCCCCTTTTCCCCCCTCATTCCTCCCTTCCTACCCATCCTCCCCAGTCCCTTTCCTTTTGGTAACTGTTAGTCCACTCTTGGGTTCTGTGAGTCTGCTGCTGTTTTCATTCCTTAAGTTTTCTCTTTGTTCTTATACTCCACAGATGAGTGAAATCATTTGATACTTATCTTTCTCTGCCTGGCTTATTTCACTGAACATAATATTCTCTAGCTCCATCCATGTTGTTGCAAATGGTAGGATTTGGTTTCTTCTTATGGCTGAATAATATCCCATTGTGTATATGTACCACATCTTCTTTATCCATTCATCTACTGATGGACACTTAGGTTGCTCCCATTCCTTGGCTATTGTAAATAGTGCTGAGATAAACATAGGGGTGCATATGTCTTTTTAAAACTGAGAAGATGAATTCTTAGGGTAAACTCCTAGGAGTGGAATTCCTGGGTCAAATGGTATTTCTATTTTGAGTTTTTTGAGGAACCTCCATACAGCTTTCCACAATGGTTGAACTAATTTACATTCCCACCAGCAGTGTAGGAGGGTTCCCCTTTCTCCACATCCTTGCTAACATTTGTTGTTGTTTGTCTTTTGGATGGTGGCGATCCTAACTGTCGTGAGGTGATACGTCATTGTGGTTTTAATTGCATTTCTCTGTTGATTAGCGATGTGGAGCATCTTTTCATGTGTCTGTTGGCCATCTGAATTTCTTCTTTGGAGAGTGTATGTTCAGATCTTCTGCCCACTTTTTAATTGGCTTATTTGCTTTTTGTTTGTTGAGGTGCAATGACCTCTTTGTATATTTTGGATGTCAACCCTTTATTGGATCTGTCATTTATGAATATATTCTCCCATACTGTAGGATGCCTTTTTGTTCTACTGATGGTGCCCTTTGCTGTACAGAGGCTTTTTAGTTTGATACAGTCCCACTTGTTCATATTTGCTTTTGTTTCCCTTGCCCGTTGAGATATGTTCATGAAGAAGTTGTTCATGTTTATACTCAAGAGATTTTTGCCTATGTTTTCTTTTAAGAGTTTTATGGTTTCATGACTTACATTCAGGTCTTTGATCCATTTTGAGTTTACTTTTGTGCATGGGGTTAGACAATGATCCAGTTTCATTCTCTTAATGTAGCTGTCCAGTTTTGCCAACATCAGCTGTTGAAGAGGCTGTCATATCCCCATTGTATATCCATGGCTCCTTTATCATATATTAATTGACCATATATGCTTGGGTTAATATCTGACTATTCTGTTCCACTGGTCTATGGATCTGTTCTTGTGGCAGTACCAAATTGTCTTGATTACTGTGGCTTTGTAGAAGAGCTTGAAGTTGGGAAGAGAGATCCCCCTGCTTTGTTCTTCCCTCTCAGGATTGCTTTGGCTATTTGGGGGTATTTTATGGTTCCATATGAATTTTAGAACTAATTGTTCCAGTTCATTGAAGAATGCTGTCAGTATTTTGATAGAGCTTGTACTGAATCTGTTGATTGCTTTAGGCAGGATGGCCATTTTGACAATATTAATTCTTCCTATCCATGAGCACAGGATGCATTTCTATTTATTGGTATGTTCTTTAATTTCTCTCATGAGTGTCTTGCAGTTTTCAGAGTATAGGTCTTTCACTACCTAGGTTAGGTTTACTCCTAGGTATTTTATTCTTTTTGATGCAATTGTGAATGGAATTGTTTTGCTGATTTCTCTTTCTGCTAGTTCATTGTTAGTGTATAGGAAAGCCACAGATTTCTGTGTATTAATTTTGCATCCTGCAACTTTGCTGAATTCAGATATTAGTTCTAGTAGTTTTGGTGTGGATTCTTTAGGAACTTTAATGTACAATATCATGTCATCTGTAAACAGTGACAGTTTGACTTCTTCCTTACCAATCTGGGTGCCTTTTATTTCTCTGTGTTGTCTGATTGCTGTGGCTGGGACTTCCAGTATTATGTTGAATAACAGTGGGGAGAGTGGGCATCCCTGTCTTTCAACCAATCTCAGAGGAAAAGCTTTCAGCTTCTCACTGTTCAGTATGCTGTTGGCTGTGGGTTTGTCATATATGGCATTTATTATGTTGGGGTACTTGCCCTCTATACCCATTTTGTTGAGAGTTTTTATTATGAATGGATGTTGAATTTTGTTGAATGCTTTTTCAGCATCTGTGGAGATGATCACATGGTTTTTGTCCTTTTTGTTGATGTGGTGGCTGATGATGATGGATTTTCAAATATTGTACCATCCTTGCATCCCTGAGATGAATTCCACTTGATCATGGTGTATGATCTTCTTGATGTGTTTTTGAATTCAGTTTGCTAATATTTTGTTGAGTATTTTTGAATCTATGTTCATCAGGGATATTGGTCTGTAGTTTTCTTTTTTTGTGGTGTCTTTGCTTAGTTTTGGTACTAGAGTGATGCTGGTTTTGTAGATGAGTTTGGAAGTATGCCCTCCTCTTTTACTTTTTGGAAAACTTTAAGGAGAATGGATATTATGTCTTCTCTGAATGTCTGATAAAATTTAGCAGTGAATCCATCTGGCCTAGGTTTTGTTCTTGGGTAATTTTTTGACTACTGATTCAATTTTATTGTTGGTAATTGGTCTGTTTAAATTTTCTGTTTCTTCCTGAGACAGTCTTGGAAGGTTGTATTTTTCTAGAAATTTGTCCATTTCTTCTAGGTTATTCAGTTTGTTAGTATATAATTTTTCATAGTATTCTCTCACAATTGTGTTTCAGTGGTGTCTGTAGTGATTTTTCCTTTCTCATTTCTGATTCTTTTGATGTGTGTAGATTCTATTTTTTTCTTAATAAGTCTTGCTAGGGGTTTATCTATTTGGTTTATTTTCTCAAAGAATCAGTACTTTGTTTCACTAAATTTTTCTATTGTTTTATTCTTCTCGATTTTATTTATGTCTTCTCTGATCTTTATTATGTCCCTCCTTCTCCTGACTTTGGACCTCATTTGTTCTTCTTTTTCCAGTTTCAATAACTGTGACTTTAGACTATTCATTTGGGATTGTTCTACCTTCTTTAAATAGGCCTGGATTGCTATACACTTCCCCCTTAGAACTGCCTTTGCTGTGACCCACAGAAGTTGGGGCATTGTGCTGTTGTTTTCATTTGTCTCCATATATTGCTTAATGTCAGTTTTAATTTGGTCATTGATCCATTGATTATTTTTTTAATTTTTTTATTGAAGGGTAGTTGACATACAGTATTACATTAGTTTCAGGTGTACAACACAGTGATTTAACATTTATATACATGATAATTCTAGGTACCAGCTATCACCATACCAAGTTGTTAC